GAGAGAGAGAGAGAGAGAGAGAGAATGGCAGAGGAAGAATCCGTTTGAATCCCTATAATGAGCCGTATGGTCTATTCTGGCCTTTCAGTTGAACAGTGAACATCAAGCATGACTGAACTTATCTTTATCATGTTGTCAACTCCATGATGTCACTGTTTTAGATCGTTTCAGACTCTTAGAATTTTATGATATTTAGATGTCATTTCTAAAGTAAAGTTTTTTTCGTTTTTCTTGTTGAGTCAGTGTCTCTGGAGTATACTCACCATCATCCTGAGACCTTGTTTTGTAGTGTAAACGTGACTTTCCATTACCTTGTGCACTGGTTTCCCTCAGCTTTCCCTAAAGTGCCCATATCTGACTGCATATGTTTCATTTTATAGCAGTATATATAATAAGAAATATGTTTACTTATATTAAAAGTTATTTTATTAACGTAATGTAACTTTACATAAATATTATTGCACAGATCTATTGTTTGAAACTCTTTTTCAGAACTCATGTAAGGGTCATGGATATTTTCTTTCAAACAAATAAAAAAAAGCATTTGCTGATTAAAAAAGTTAAATAAGTGAAATTTAAGGACTGGTTATGTATAAACAGCCGTTGTCAAAGGTGTCCTGACCTGCAGAATCGAGAGCGCCGCTACACTGTGCAAGCTGAGGCATCGCGACGCACACCTGGCCCTGGAAACGCTCTCCGACCAGGACTCATCAGCATCGGCGCGCTGTCTCCTGGCACAGACACCTGAGCTGCAGAGGAAAATAATCCACAGGCTGGTCCTGACAGCGCTGTTTGTGGTCAGCATCTCCGTTCCGAGGTGGGATGCTGAAACAAAAGATGCGGAGTAATGTGATGGAAGCCCAGCTTTACTAGCTATTATATAGCCAAGGGTGGAGCTATGAGATCTAGGCGTACACGAGGTCATGAGGCTGAGGGATGCTCATGAGCCGGTGTTTTCATTCCAGTCGGTCAACGTGCGCACAGCCAGGAGTATTGGCTCAACAATTCAATACTTTATTGTCCCACAGGGGGGATTAGTTTAGCAGCAAGGGCAACATTAAGAACAAACAAAACAATGATAAAAAGCCACAAGACCGTTATTTACTTATCGTTAGATGTAGCCAGAATAATATGACGCTCACAAAAACGCACGGAGACGAACAATGACGAATAAATGAGCAGTGACGTGATAATTGATCATGACTAGTTCAATGGCTGATTTGCAGTAAGGTACAGTAGTCAGGCAAATTGAAGGCTAGCTATTAATGAATGACCACATTCTTCACACTCTTTATTACCGGTTCCTATTTTACCCTCTCACGGCTGCAGCCTTCCAGCTCCCAGCCGAACACACACCACCAACAACAACAGTCACGGCCCACTTCAGTCCTTTAAAGAGGTTTGTTGAGCCGATGCAGCTCCGGTGCGTCCGCCCCCGCGCTCCCGCAGCCGCGGCACCGACCACGCCCTGTCACAGAACCAAAATACAAACTTAAATTTGCTTTCATGAGCACTGGTCGTGATAAATGTCAAGCTCGAACATCTAATTACACCATCGTGGTTTGTGTGTCTGATACCGGCTTCATTGATGTTCGTTGTTTCTGTATTTTATTGATCTGCTTCTGAATCACGGGCTGCACTCCTGTGAAGACCTCCTGTTTTACGAACCAGGGGGATTTTACGTCTATTTTCAGACTTTCGTGGAGCTGAACTTAAAAGGTTTTGCATTAATTCAGGTTTGGATGTGCACATTTGTAAAATAGTTTTACATGCAGTCAGATTGCTTTGTATTTTTGTGTGGACTGGAGTATGCATTTGTGAGCCCTTTAAAGTTACGCACAAATCACTGTACACGATTGTAGATCTTACTTTATGCTCGTGGATCATATCATAAGCAATTGTGACCTTTGTTGAGGCAAATTTCTGTCCATATATAAACAATGACCAGCTAACCTAACCCCATTAACGTCTGTGGGAGGAAGCCAGGGTACTCGGGGAGAACCCCACGCAGAAACGGCCCAGGCTGGATTTGAACTCAGGGCCCTCTTGCTTTGCTGACCACCACACCATCCTATTTTGAATTTTTTTCTTGTAAATCGGGCCTTTATTTCACAGAATTTTAGTCAATGGAATATTTTACTGTTACTCTAGCTTGTGTTTCCTTGGTGTGTTTTCTGAGTGAATGAAAAAGGAGTCTACCTACTCTGTGCTTGTATGTGCTGCTTGATGCCAGCAGGTTGCTACTCCATTAATGGAAAGGAAACATTTATGTTCCTGAATCTGTGATTTTACACTGGAGACATTTTTTCCGAGGATGAGAGCTTTTTCCTCAACATGACCAGGGCATAGCAGGGAATGTACTTGTCAGGGAATTCTAGCTGGTATGTTTAGTGGTAGCTGCAAACACCATTTTTATAGACTCCTCTATTAAAGTAACCACAAGCATATCTCTCATAAGTAAGTGGTTCACTGCTGGTTTCCTTGCCCAAGGAAAGGAGAAAAATGACGTTTTGGAAATTCTGAAGAGATCCTCCTTGGATTGTCAGTTCCCTCATGCCTGGCGTAAGGGCCCCCCTTGCACTGCTAGAGCATCCTGCAGTGTTAATAGGCGCTTTTTTCTCCGCTGCACTAGATTTCCAAACAGTCACTCATGCCTCCCCGCTCCCTCTCAGGTTTTATAGTACTGTCTTTGACCTAATGAGCCTTTACAGCTGAGATTTTTTACCTCTCAGAGGTTCAAAACGAGAGGCAGAGCAGGTTCATTACGCCTCTACATATACATTCAAACACAAGGCGATGAAATGCTCCGAGTGTTTTAACTAACAGTGGCTCCTCAGTGTACTCACTGGAGAAAATGACATGAAGCCTACAAGCAATCCTCTGAATTGTTTTCCGATTTGTTTTGCATCTGCCAGGGATAGTCCGAAAATAGGCTGTTAATGAAGTGAGTGTCTCCAAAGAAGTGGTGAGCTGCTGCTGCTGTGGTGGCCCACCCACCCACTACAGGATGGAGAAAATCCCTCTGAGCCCCCCGGTGAGGGGTTTGGCTTACTCACAAATAAAAACAACATACTATGACAGCGTAATAGTCTCACTATGTGTGTGTTGTGTCTGCCAGTGTTCTGGGCTATTTTCCCTCTTTTCCCAAAATGTCCTATACTGTCAGGGTCCTGGGACTGGGCGACCCAGGATCCCTGGGCAGTCATGGACCTGTGTATTATTATGTATTTTTGGTGTCGTTTTCCCCTTCTCTGTGCGTGTACATATGTGTGTTTCTCTGTGCTGTGTTAGTCTGTCCCACTCATATGTTTAGGCGAGGTATGGGTGTGTATGTCTGCAGGCCTGAGGGGTGTGGCCCTGCGGAGGGACTGGCCACACCCGAAGCCACACACCTGCCGCTGATCAGGGCTCGTCGGGGGAGCTACTTAGGAGAGTCTTGGAGCTCCCACCGACGCGGGATCATTGCATGAGACTCCACGTTAGTCTTCTGTTCAGTTAATAAGTTAGTGTGCGTGTATGCCCGCAGTTGTATGTGTCCTGACGGCTGCGTCTATTGTTTCCCACAGGAGGAGCGTGGAAGACACGAGAGCAGCGAGCACCGGGGGGTGCTGACACGGGAGCGGAGAGCACAAAGACACGGACTATTCACGGAGAGACACAACACGGGAGTCTGGGAAAACACGGGGATTTATTGTTACTTTGTTGCACACTGTAAATAAACACACTGTTTATACATAGAGCACCGCGCCTGGGTCCTCCTTCCCCACACATCCCCACGGTCTGCCAGCCAGACCGTGACATATACACTTCGACTGGGAAGAACAACAGCATGAAAGCAGACTTTTGATAGAGCCTGTGATCCAGTGCGTATGGACAGAGCCTTATCAGTTCTATTTCCCCACACGAAAGCCATTATTTTGGCCTTAATGCTGGTGGAGTCTTGGAGAACAAAAAGAACTATGTGCTTTGACCTTTACTCACAAAGTTCATCATTCATGGGAGATTTAGAAGTAATGCAATACTGAGTCTTCATCAAATTATTACAATTTCATTGTGAAACATTGCAAACATTCCCAGACAATAACGAGAGGTTTTTGGTGCGTTTTAGCACGTCCTTACCTGCGATCATTCGAAGCACCGTGAAACTGGGGATTCCAATCAGAGGTTAATGTTGAATCGGGCCGGTGGGTGAACGAGGAGGTTAAATAACTTCCAAATTGATTTGTTTCTGTTTGTTTCTTTGTGAACAATCTGTGCTGCTGCTGCTCCGCGACTCATTCTTCTTTGGGAATATAACAAACTGCATTCTACTGTATACCAGCAAATGCTACATGAGCTGTCGTGCTATGATTGATGCTTTCCCCCTGCTAGAATAACAGCAACAGCTCCCACCTGCCTATTCACAACGTGTCTGCCTGCTCTCCACCTGCTGATGGTCTGCAACTCTCCTGCCTACTCAGTTCCTCCTTCTTGCTCTCCTCGCCCACCATAACAAGTAAGACAGAGTCAGACACTTACACAACTCACCACTACGACACTTACCTGTTGGATCTCGCTAAGTGCTGCTCTCTTCTGTGGCAGAGCTCCTGTGATCCAATTCTCATTGAGGCTCTCCTTTACTCCCAGTTCCCTGCTTGATAACCGTTTCTCCTTCTCTGATGAACCCTACTGCAAACTCAGGCCTGAGTCTGCTCTCTGAGTCCTGCCTGATTCAATCCCTGGCTGTTTATACTACATAACAGTAACAACTAAGTATAAGCATACATGCATGAGTGTTGCTAGTAGGACTCAAACATGTCATAACTCACTGGATGTCCACTTTTGTGATGTTGAACGAGTTTTCACTTCAGCTCACCTCTGGACAAATTGCAGTAACTCTCTTGCATCCTGCCTCTCATTAAACACAACTAACATCCCTTGATGGTTCTTGATCTTGCATCCAACTATCTTTTCTATGGATTCTTAATCTATAACCAAGTGGGAATAGTAAGTGGAGCTGTGTTAATGTTGGTCCCATTAGTCCCAATCCCCATCTTCTGCTCAGTGAATGTATCTTCTGACAGGGACAGCTACGCATTTTTGGAGTTTGATTGCAGCCTCTGATCTCCAGCTCTAATAGTAAGTTTGTATGGCTTCACGGGCCAAATGTAATTAGGCTGCGGGCCAAATTTGGCCCGCGGGCCAGAGTTTGACACCTGTGGCCTAGGCCCTTATGTCTGTCTAATACATCCCTGCAGTTTAACTAATTGGTGTGTGTCATCTGGAGGCATGGATACATAAAGCTGGGTATCCTTTGCATAGCAATGAAAATGTATGATATGTGTTCTAATAATACTACCAGCACGTGTAATGTAAAAAATGATATTGGTCCTGGCACAGACCTCTGTGGAACTCCATAATTACCTTTAGTGTGTGAATATAATTCACTATTTACATGAACAAACTGGAAACTGTTGATTCTGACTGATATGACTCAAACCACTGCAGCACATTAATCCCTATGACAATAGGTGTTCACTCGTACTCTACCAAAAGCCCCTCCAGGGACAAATAATGATCAAGACTCCAGACTCAGATCAGCAAATTCCTCCACAGGTTAATGAACAGACTCCTTACTGCTTCACATTAAGGGGTTTGTGGGTTTGAACCTGCTGACCGACTGGAGCCTTTCAGTCTGGAGTTTGCATGTTCTGTGTGTGTGCCTCCAAAGACATATTGGGGTAATAGGTGACTCTAAATTGGCCATGGTGTTGTTGGTAAATGGACTGGTTCTTAAATGGGGGTTTTCTACCCTGTCTGAGCACTCAAAGCGCTTTATACAACGTGCCTCA